GTATTGCTACATATTAAAACAACCATATATTTTATTTTATTGTTTAGATAGCTGAAGTGAAAATCAAACAGCGTGGACTTTTAACAAAGTCAATTTTAGATTTTTACATTTGTTTTTAAAAACTCTTTCTTTTTGCGATTTTGTTTAGAAGTGAACAAACCAAAGAACCAACCATATATGGATTCCCCACRTACACGTTTGTCTCATTTGTCTCTGTGATGGACCAGTCCAGAGTGTCCCCACCTCTTGAGGCAGACACCAGTTAGTCTGTGACCTGAAAGGAAAAAGTTGGTAAAGATGATGGATGAACTTTYTGAAAATAAAACTTTTTTGACATTTAACAACTGGAACTGAGAAAAAAAAAGAACAAAATGAAAGAATATATTAGAGAAAAGCAGAGACGAGCCTCAGCGATGAGACTGTTTACCATTTCTTCTGGTCTCCAGTCTCATTACTCCTCATATTGGCAGAATCGAGATKATTTYCTTTCCTTTGTTTATTCCTGAGTGGATTTCTGTTGTTTGTGTCAAAAGTTTGTCTGYGAGCTCGTGTATCTCTGTTTGATCATCCTGTGTTTTATTCATATTAGTTTGCTTGTCTGACCTCAATCTTTCTATGATCATCGGTTGTTTTGGCGTCCTCGGCTAATACCCAGGTCCTACTGTGGGATTTTCCAGTTTTTTTCTTTATTACACATGCAAATGCTGCTGAGCTGAGTCTGTGAATTCATAAGAATGAATTAGAAGTGAATGTCAAATGAGAACACGCGAGCGCCTCATGAATGATACACAGATTAAATTTAGTGAATAGAAACGTCTCAAATGTATTTTTTTATTGCCTGATAAACTTTTGCCTTTTATTCCATATCAGTGATTGTCAACTGACGGCTCCTGGGCCACATTAGGCACATAGGCTCATTATATTTGGTCTGCAGAGTATTTTTACTGTAGGATTCAGTTGTATCTCAGTTAAAATTGTTGTTTAATTGAACAAAAAGCTTGGCTTGCACCTAAAAATATTACATAGATCAATCTCGTTTTAAAAATCACATTTGGAGCTACAATAAGCTGGTTGTAGCAGCTGGTACACCTTTAATTTCCTACTTTCTTGATAGCCAAATTTTTTAATGTGGTGAAAATTGTACATTGTAAATATTGTAGTAATGTATGTTGGCAGCTTAATTAGATCATCTCAAAGTGAAAACAAAACAAACCCTGTTTTTTAACAATAGCCAACACTGCTTTTGGTCATTATTTTAGATATTCATGTTGTCTATTAGCAGTTAACTAGATGGTTTATGTTTTTTTTTAGCATTGATCATAAATATTAGCATTTTTGTGTCGTTCTCTGTTAAAAATCCTAACTAAACTTTAAAAAATGTAAAACATATTTGATAAAAACTACACCATGTTATATGCCTTTTATTTATAACAGAAGCAAAAAAAAAAGCTCAGCTAATCAAAGGCTGGCCCTTGACCACATTTGGTTCAAAGATCTCCTCTTCTATTACACACGCACGCACGCACGCACGCACGCACGCACGCACGCACGCACGCACGCACACACACACACACACACACACAC